TATCAAGTAAATAAGGATATTAAAAAATTAATATATTAAAGGCATTTATGGTTATTAATTTTATTCTCATTGCAGGTTCCCAGGATACAGCTGAAACAGAATAAAGTCTGGTCTACCTTTAAGAATTTGATGTGTTTTAAAAAATTAACACTTTTCAGTGGGCAAAACTTTAATAACAACACCATAAAACAATCATACAAAAATCATATACATATTTTGACAGTTCTAAATAATACATATATATACACTTGATTTTACTTTGTGGAAAAGTAACTTTTGACAGTTATAGATTGTGACTGGCTGTAGCTTAAAAAAAAAAAAAAAAAAAAAGAAAAGTATTTTTCTCTAGTAGGGCAGTTGGAAGTTTGACAGTTCATCAGATTTGTAACAAGAGACTTATTGTACGGGTAAGCCAATAAAGCCATTCCAGGGACGATGGCTGGAAAGCAATCGTATACCTCATGTCTGCCCTGTATAGCACTGCTGTGACAGGAGGAACAAGGATTGGTGGGTCAGAACAAACCTGTTTTTTCTTTTGGGGTGCTGGAAATCAAGCTACAAAACATGAGCCAAAAGAGGACAAGTATTACACAGCACTTGCACCTGCAATATTTCATTTTCCCCCATGGCTACTGGAGCCATGAGTGTAACTAAGAATTTAAAAACAAACTGGAAAGAACCCACTCTTTTCAATTCAACAGCATACTGTATTATCACTGACCAGATTACAAAATTCAAAAGAGCCAAATACTTGGGCTTTTAGGAAAGGGGAGAAAAATATTGGGAAAAATGCATTGTAGCTCCAAATGAATTTTACAATCTCAAAAAACCCCAAACATTTCAGTGACGACTGAAGTACCAGTTTGCCTTGATCTAGAAACACCATTAAGGTATTTCAGATGACACTGGTTAAAAAGTGACAGAAGCCTTCAGCTTCAAAATACAGTAATTTTTTTATTAAGAAAAAAAGTGAAATACTCAAACTGGACCGCTAGATTAAGATGCTATTTAAAAATACAACCACGAGGGTCAATAAAAATGAAGCAGTTTCTTTACGCAGGTGTAAAGAGAGGCTATTTTAAATATGCAAGTGAATGGGCTACACGTGGGTACTTCCACAACACAGTAATGCTTCCAGCTGCTTAACCGTACCAGCCAGCTGCTGATATGGCAGAAATGCTGTTTCACATTACAGGTCTCAGTTTTGTATCAGAGTATCTGCAGGTATTCCTTTCTAGATTTCTTTGGGAATTCGAGAGATTACAGGTTTGGGAGGTTGGTTTTTTTTCTTTTTAAGTTTTGGGCATCTAATATTTAATGAACATATATGCAAGTACACACAAGAAAAGTGTATAGGTATCTCAGTTTTAAAAGGCATGTTCTTTTTCATACAACCAACATTCTTTTTTGAAGTCTAGCTTCTCCTGCCCATGGTACATTCTCCATTACGTTGCTAGACAGCTGTGCAGACTTCAAACACTGGTACGTAGTACAGCATTAAGGAATTTCCTGAGTCAGGTTTATTCATCATTATCTGTAAAAAACAGGAGAGGGGGAGGGACGGGGTGAAAAGGAGTGACACACACACACAACATCAAGTTGGGGTTACACAACAAACTATAAACCACAATTTAGTAAGCAGTACTACAAGAATTCACAAAGTCAGTCAACAATGAGGTGACACCAAAACTGCCTTGAAAGTATGTGTACAAATACTGAACAATCTGTCATCTTTCTTGGATTAGTGAAATTAAGATAGTTTCATCCCAAGTGGCCTACTTCAATTGGAACAATCCTCTTAGTAAAGAGCAGTACAGATTTTTTTTTTCTAACTTTTCTTATCTGAAGAGTATAAACTTTTGAGACAAGCTCATGAACATGCTTCCATCACTTGTCCTCTACTGACCTTTATTAGCACAGTATTTTTTTCTTTAAATGTCTGAAATTTAAAGAACTACTTTAAATGTGATTCTTTATGTATTTTAGTACTAAAGTACTACACGTACTTTAAATGTCTGAAATGTAAAGAACTACTTTTTCTTTACATTTTTGTATGCTACCACAGATTTGTAAAATACAGAATTAGAACTGAAGCTATTAAAAATAGCCACTTGTTAATCAGCATTTTGCAAGATGAAAGTCAGCTCATTTTCACAGGATTCACTCAGACAACAGCTTACAATTTGTATGCCAACATTTCAGCAAATTATCGTTTAAGCCTCTTAGTACTAGTTTTAAAATATCCTTAAGGCAAAGCGGCAAGGAAAAGGAACCGGTAACACTATAGGTACCACTTCATTCTCACTCGACACTGCCAGTCCTTTGGACACTTGGAAAAAATAACTACTGAAATGTATTTTTCCAATTCTGTCATTAAATAAAAAAAATTGTGGTTGAAAAAATGTTTTTCAGATACTTTTCTGTCATACTTCTATAACACAGCATGAAAACAACATGGTACTGGTTCTTCTTACTGAGTGGTTCTATATCAGTAGCAATGAAAAAATAGGAACATGTAATTTGTACTAGAATTTTTTTTTTGTTATTACATTTTTAAAACTAGTTTTTAAGACTTTTTCCCTCCAAGCATTTACATGTAATAACTGTAGAAAGCCATAGTCTTGTCTGACCCTTTATTCACTGCTACTGCAACACATTTGTAAAAGAATTTAAAAGATGCAGAAAGTGGGCATTAGTTAACAAGCATTTAGAATAGTTTTTTAAAATTACAATACATTAAATAGTGATAATGGCACACATTTCCAAAGCCACTATATAATGCTTCTGATTTCTATAAAAATATTTGAGATTTTTTATTTCTTTTTTTTTTTTCCTCTCCAGTAAATACTTTCATCATTAGAAATCTAAAATTACGTAATTGCAGTTAAATTTTTTACGTGAGAGGAAAAAAAACAAACCCAAGCCATTTCTCACTGATAGTGCTCTGTGTGGTGTTTCATAGAGTGACTCTGAAAGATCTAGGAACTCTGTCTGCCTAGTAATCTGTGCTAAACTAGGCAAGGCTCCCAAGCAGGACAAAATTATCTTCATGCATTACTGAGACACCTGAAAACTACGATGGATTGCACATCCACATCAAATTCTTCTGAAAAATGCCAACTGTAGGATAAGGAGCCACATGTAATTTTCTTCTCAGAAAAGCAGTGATACTGCAACCCATTAAAAGTAGAGTTTTTGAAAGAACAATATTATTTTAGCTAAAAATTCATTAATTCTTAAGATAAAATTGTTTTTAATTCTGCAAGTTTTACTCTTGACTTCCATCTTCCCAATCTGCATAACTGTTTTACAGAAATTAAATAATTATACTGCACCTTTCATAAGACAGCTGCTGTTAGAGTTGACTGTATGCATGCATGCTGTTAAATCAGAGTGGTCAGCATGCTTAATCAAAGTTTGCCACGTTGCAGGAATAAAAATACCATTTGTGAACTAAATTATTTTTATCAATTTAGCCAATCAATAAAACAAAGAACAGATATGTTTTAAAAGTATATTAGAACCTATTGTATGTGACCAAGAAAGAACATAAGACAAGCCATAACTGCCAGGATACAGCAAGATTACCTTCTTGATAGGCGCCGTCTGCCATTACCAGGTGAAGTATTTTGGCATACAGGTGCTTGTGTTCATTTCCAAGAATAGTCTGAACTATGGTTGAACAAATATCAATATTTTCATCTTCATCTTCATGTATAGCCTGGGAGAAAGGACAATCCATGTTGCCAAAATTAAAATGGGTATAGAATTAAATAGTTCAAGTTTATTAAATGCAATTCACAGTTAAACCCAAAGTTTTCCTCTTTAATCCACTGGCATGGTGTTCTCTCTGTTATTACTTTAGTGTGTTGAAACAGAATAGAAGGCTAAGAAATAAACACTGGTTCTAGTCACACAATGCAATTAGTTGCTGGCACAGTACACAGCCCCTGGTACTTGCTTCTTAAATTACTTCCCACTCAAAGTTATTCCACAAACCTTTATTTTCTCATAAACTTCAATGAATTTATCAAAACCTATTTCCTGCTCCAGGTTATATCTCAACTCTTCCAAATGGCTGAAGATGCTATCACATTCTTCACATTCACTGGCAATCTCTCCATCACTATTATCTATAAAAAAAGAAAACATGAGTAAACCCCCCTCAGTTTCCTACATTCTGAATGTTGCTTCTATGTCCCTAAACTTGGTATCTGCACAGACCTCTAACTGCAATGAAAGCAGGTAAGCTCGGGAGCACCAGGCAGTGTGGGCAGATGTTCTGAACAACCTGCAAGGAAACAGGAACAGTCCCTTTCTTGACAGCAAAGAAATTCTGAACACAAACTGGGAAGCATTTAGCCATCTCCTCTAAAAGCCCACTCTGGTAGTTAGCCATAAGGGTGTTCATGCTGACAGAAAGCAAGGCATGGTCTCAAGGCATACTTTTATTGAGCAAAGCAATATTAGCACATCAGCAGATGGTTCCATGTAACTACTCTACATATTTCTGAGGTGGAACTGATGCAGGGCTCAGTGGCGGTCCCATGCTAGGGAAAAGAGCTCCTTAATGAAGCAGCTGTCTTCTAACAGAAAATAAGGTCATGTACATTAAGAATCAGTTATTTAATTTCTGTACTGAGATGCATCTTGTTCCATGGAGCAAGTCTAAAAATCTCACTACTAATTTAGCTACAAAATTCCTCATTCTTCTATGAATGCACCTCCTTTGTGTAGCAAATTCAGTCTGCCAACTGGTGCAGTAAGATACACGAGAGAAATCAAGATACTTTGCTTATAGACTACAGAAACCTGACAAGTCGGTTTGTAGCAGTCAAACATTAGGTAATTTTAACAAAAAAAGGTTCTATTTAAAGATGCAAGATGGAATCCTCATGTAAAATCCTATTATAAAATGCAAACTGCTTTTGCCCAAGAAAAAGATCTCCTTAAATAAGTATTTGAATTATGGAAGGACTTATCTACCCAGAAAAAATACACAACTTTTTAGATTTAAGAGCTTATATTACCAAATCTTTAAAAAAAATACGTAGTATTGCCTGGTAGGTCACAGACTTCGTGAGTTAGTATTAAAATGCTATGACTTCCAATTCCTATATATGACTAGTGTAAGGTATAATCCTGACCAAATCCTATCCCTGACTCAAGTATCAACAGTCATATCAATAAGAAATTATCATTGAAATAAAAAGAAAAGTTGTATATGGCTTAAAAACCCATTTGATGACTTCTAATCCATATTTAACTTCCGGATTTTTAACAGATTTGGTTTCAAGTTCTGTCTGTTCCCCTGAGTTCTGAAGGCATTCCTCCCACCTCCAATGAAACCTGCAATTCTTAGATCATGAATCTCGAAGGTGGGACATGGGAACCAAATACTGTAACGCTTCAACAACAAATCACAGAAACGTAGAGCAGTGTACGTTATCAGCGTGTAACATCTGCACTGGCAAAAAATGAAAGAAGATGGTATTACCTTAGTTTATTTTACCTTAAAATAATCATTGGAATCTATTACATAGATAGTATTTTACAGGTATATTCACAGATTTTCAGTTTGCTTAAAATAGTCTTCAATGAGCCAAAATTACACAAAAACTACATTTTAGATTAGTTACTGATTTTATACATCTTTTTATACCTATATTTCCAAATGCACTTTATTTTATAGCATTAGTAAAATACTTTTATTCCAACCAGAATTTCAAAAACAGAACTGAGACTTCAGGACATCATTGTATATAGCTAATGCACAATGCTAAAAGCAGTAATAATTTTTTCTGTCTCATTTTTAGTTTGACTGCATTAATAGCTATTTTGGGCTAAGGACAAGGTTAATAATTTCATGTTCCTTTTGACTACTTGTTAAAATTACTTAATTGTAATGTAAGCTGGATCCTAGATACTCCAGTCATGTCAAATGCTATTTCTTTTTCACTTTTCCATTCCAGTCATGAATTATTCAAAACAAATGATGTACACAGTGCCTTTGATCTTCCTGGAAGACAGGTTTTAGACAACTAGAGAAAAAGTGACTTACAATGACTGTCTAACAAATAGCCGACACTTAATTTGCAACACAGAATGTTGCTTACACATTGACCTTAAGATTCAGAAATGTTATCTGATTTTTTTTAAACTTCTGTATAAAAACTATTAACTAGAGCTTTATTTCATTATAAGTATACAATGCAAATACATTATTCTGTGTTTGAATTGTTAACATCAATAAAGAACTTCTAAAACAAGTATAACAGAAATTATACCTGACTGCCATTCTTCATTAAGTGCACTTTCACTGCTGGGGTTATTTTCATCTCCTTCATCCAGCTCTGTACCATTTGTGATGCATTCCATGACATTAGCCTTTAAGGTAGACTCCTCCTCTTCACTGAATTCCTCACTAGGCTGCTCCCTAAGCAATTGTTCCATTGAGGCCCGGAGTTTCTGCAAATCTGTATCTGCCTCCCCAAACATACTAAGAGAGAGTGATACAAAGTTTATATAATTAATACTTTATAAGACAAACCCAGTAGGAAGAGTTCATTTCTTTTGTCAAGCCAACAAACTGGAAAGCCAGTGTAGCTGGAGGAAAGGAGGAGGGGGAAAAAAAAAAGAAAAAAAAGAGAGAGATACAAATATCTGTGTCCTCAGCCCAACATGATTACAGCACTGATACCACTAAATCATGCCAGACGCGGGGAACCTTAGCTAAACAGATACCAGGTAACAGATGTCGTAAAAAGATGCTGATAGGTCCTCAATTCAACTTCATTAGTAAGATAATTTCAAAAATCTTTGTATTCGTGCACTATTATAGAACCCTGTCAAGTATAACATTCCCAATCCAGATGAAAATGTGTCTGGAGCAAAAAGAGATCTAGATCTCATCAGAATAGATACACCAGGTGATTTTATCCATCAGACTATCCAAGTTGCAAGGAACAGTCAAGAGCCAGGGTCAGATGTTGAAGCCCCTGAGAGAATTTGGGGGACCTGAAGGCCATTCCAAGACAACAGTAGAGAAAATAGAGGAGCAAGATTCCCAGAACATAAGAAAAAAGGAAATCAAGAAATCTTGATTTCTAGAAGAACGGTAGCCATCAATTTTGTTCTGCTTCAGCGGAATGCAAGGCGCAGAAGCCAGACAAAATAGTATCTTGGATAGAATTTGGAAAGGAAATTCAGACAGCTTTTGTAAGCAGTACATCCCATTGGCTTCTCAATTCTCTGGAACAAGACTCAAAGTAAATGGTGACTCACTACAGGATTTTAAAAATTTGGGTAAAAAACACCATGCTGGTATACTGTGTATAACTGTTAGTGTATAACCAAAAATATTATTGATCTAAGATGCCTGTTGACAAACTTGATACACTCACATATCCTCAGAATCAGAGGGTCCTTCTTTGGCTTGCTCATCTTCTGTATCATCTATTTCAAGATTATGTTGATGCTGCACATCTGCTACACTGGGAACATCGACTAATGTTCTGTACAGTTTATAAAGATCCGGGAGCGAACAAGTTCTCAACATCTGCAAAGGTAACAGAAAGCTTGTTTGGTAACAACACTAAAGACAGTCTGAGGTTATAAAATACTTCACAGTGGTATTTTTTTGTCCTTTTTTATTTGAAGGTCAATTTCAAAATAACAATGTGTCCAGCACAGACCCTCTAACTGTTGAATATCTGACATCTTGAATTTTGCTTCTCAGCTAAAAGGAAAGAATTCATTCTGCCTGTGTCGGCTACAGTCATTGAAAAGCTTTAAGAACATGAGCTGACATACTGATTTTGTGCAGATTGGTTTGTTACCTTGACAGCTATCTAAAGAAAAGGAACATTGCAGTAGATAAATAATATATATATATATATATATATGCAGTTGTTCACAATGTATGTATGTCAATCCCTCACAGCTTAGAACTATTTTAAGCAGCTGACAAAGGAGTATTTTTTAAAATGACATATTATTATTTCTCTAGGTTGGTCACTGAAAACAGTATTTTTTTGTTTAGGTATATTTCAAGGCAGTTACATAGTATGAGAAAGAAGTTCATTACAAGAAGTATTAGAGAAGTTCAAATTACAACAGTGATTTGTTGCAATGGAAATAAAGCAAGATGGAAACAAAGTAACTGTTTGCTCAGTGATTGACCAGATCTCTCTTTTAAGAAGTCTTAAGAACCCCCCAAAATTACTAAATATTCACCATAGTATTAACAAAACAGGAAACAAGACCTGATCTGCATTAATAATTTTTACCAATAAGCCTCACCTTCCTTCAGCACAGCTCTGAATACATGCACGTTCAGTTTTTGCTCCTAATGACACCCCCTAAATTTTAATGAAAAAAGTTCCTCAGGTGCAATTTAGACCAGCACAATCTATTCATATACATGCTCAAATATCCAATCTCTGTCAGCACATCACCAGAATATTATTGCCAAAGGAGTAACCACCCTTTCTGACCACTGCTACCAAAGTGACAGAACAATTAGAAGACTGACTTTACCCCATCATTTGAAAGTTTCCAAGTATTCTGAAAAATGCTTATTTTCCTATTAGCCTATTTCTGGTAGCAAACTGACCTGTCTACAGATAGGACACTAACTCTGTCTGCCCTGCTCCCTCCTAAAGGTTCCCTTAGTTTCTGGGTAAGAGCTGCAGCAGAGGTATATTTGGGAAATTCCAGAAAGTTGCATTTGCAGATACTGCAAAGAAGCACCGAACATCCTCTTGTTGCAACCAAATGAGGAGAGGGAATTTCATCAAGTCTGCTGCAGCAGTAACAACACCACATCTGTGCTTTTCTCCAGGCCCTCTGCTATTACGTAGAGCTCGTCTGGTATTGTGTTAACAGTTCTGTGGCAAACGCTTATGGCCAAAACACAGGCCAGATACGCAGTAACAAGCGACATACTGAGGCGGTTCATACTGATACACTGAAGAACTTCATTATAAAGCATATCCCTTACTGGCTAAATGGGATAAGGGTACAAAGAACGTTCATCTTCCCCCTGCTCACAAGTGAGCTTTTCTGTAGTCAATGTCCAACTGCCAGATAAACAGCTTCATAAACTGGGGAAGTTAACAGCAGATTAACTCTCAAGGAATCAAAATTAAGAGTCATAAATCCATTTATGTGAATATATGGATCTATGAAAACACATGCAAGCTCCTCAAGAAGCCTTATTTTTCCCACAGGTGCAAACAGCACTATCGCTGATATTCTGCTTCCTAGCAATGCATCAACCAATAGACACTCTTCCATATTCAATTAATCATCAATAATGCACCCACAAAAAAAGGCTGGGAGTCAAAAGAAGAAACATTCTCACTTACCTGGCATTCCACCACCTAGGAAATCCCTTACTACATATTGACTGACTGCAATGCAGGTGTGCAAGTTTCCAGAGAACCCCTGACACCACTGCTTTTCCAAAAAGCAGCTGTTCTTTTATGCATTTTCCACTTTAGAATCAAGGCAAGTATTGCACATAATTTAAGTCTGTTTCATCTACTAGTTCCATAACGATTCTTAAAACATTTTAAATTCAGATCAAAACCACACTGCACCATCCTATTCTCATTCCACAGACTGTGAGCTGCCAAATTCAACTCAACCCTATGTAGCTGGTCAGGAAACGCCTTCCTCAGGAAAGCAGTTCATTCTATTCACTCTTCTTCAGTCTTCCTGCTTCACAGCCAGAACCTGTGCTAGTTGGTTAAATCCTACAGGAAAAAACCTCAATCGCTTGGTTGCCAGAAATCACAAGATACTTTTGCTGATCTGTTTGTTCAGTGTTTATGTTTATGACGGCGAGGTAGTGGTAAGTCTGAAAAACTGCACAAAAGTGAAAAAGCAGATAGGGGAAGTTGGGAGTTTCCTCATGAACCCCCTCAGTTACGTCTCAGAGAAATGGTGGCTCTCTCCCAGAAACACCCAGACACAGAATGTTGAATAGCAAAACCAGAGACTGTCACTGCTGCGCAAGTCCCGCTGATACAATAAGCACAGTGCAGTCATACTGCAGGGCAGACAGGGCTAGACAAATACAAACCCTGCTGAAACAGTTATGCCATCTCTTCTGGCCTCATTCAGCCTCAATAAGAAAATAAGAGTAATATTACTATAGAAAAACAAGTATTCTTTTTTAGTTTTTTAAACTTGCCTTTGGGTCATTTGCATCGAAAAGCCCTGTAGAAAGTCCAATCAGCAATGAACTTTTGCCTCTATTTTTTGCTGGTGATACGGAGCGTGAACGAGGTACAAGAGGCTCTTCTTGTGAAGACTGAGCTGATAGAGCTGGTGAGGCTGTTGGTACAGCCTGGGTCTTTAATACCCTCTGGAATAAGGGTTCAGGTTGCAGACAGTCACTGGAACAAGCTTCTGATGTGGTAAAAAAAAGTCCATTACAAATCTAAATAGATTAAAAACCCCAAGCTCTTGAGCAAAAAGTAACTGAAGTGAGTAAAACGAACTCATTTCTGTTGTACAGTTAAAGGGGAAAACAGCACTATAGTAGTATTAAAATATCTTTTGGATTATTTTAGTAAATACATTATAATGTGAAATTCTCCCATTTAAACTTTTTGAGAATATACAGCCCTCAGTTATAGCCTATTCTGTTCTCATGCCTTCTAGTTTCTTGTCATCCATTTTCATCTGTTGCTTCTTGCCTTATATGAGATTTCTCCAAAACTACCTCAACATCATCTGCCCAAACACTAGAAAAAAAAAACCCAGTTTGCTTAAGTCAGCCATAAATAGATGCAATAGCATCATCAGTGATACTTGACACTATTGGTGAAGTATCTGCCATTCTACTATAAAACATGCAGACCTTCTGAAGCTACTTCGAAGACCTCCAAGAGCAAGCAATTCTTCTATGCAGTAAAGATAAAATATTATCACTAGCAACTGCTTAAAACTTTTTTTATCCAAGCTGCAGCTCAGTATTATGAGATGTCTACAAACAAAGCAACACTTTTATGAAGTAAAATCACCAGATTTCATAACATTTAAAAATAGTCACTTTAAAAGGTCATTAACACTCAGAAACTCGACATTCACTTTCAAGTATTAGTGTGGGCCACAGCTCTCCTCATCTATGCACAGTCTGGCTTTGTTGTTACATGTTCTCTTCCGAAGTGGCAAAAATAACACCCATAATTTGTCTTCCTAATCCATCAGAAATTTTCTATTTAGAAGTATGAACTAAAAAAGAAAATGAAAACAGAAAACTTGCTCTTTTGAGGCTGGTGAAGAAGTGAGAAGGGATGGCTCAAGCACTCCGTGTTGCCAGCTACAATAAATAAAACAAGATACTTTGACTGACCTTCCGGAGCTTCCTCTTGTGGTTGCGCATTGTCAAGTTCTACTTTCTCAGAAGATGCCTCATTTCTTTGCTCATGTTGTGCCCTATTATAAAATACCACATCCAGGGGAAACACCATGTAAAAATTGTTATTATTCTACCAAAAAAAAATCCTCAGCCACAAAGTGTAGTAAAACTAACATGGCAGACCAGCAATGACACTTTAGCTAAGCTTAGTATTTTAACTGATGTATCTAAATCCTCCTCAGTTAAAGGTGGTTGTTTGAACTGGAGAGAGGGGGATCAGAAGAAGAGAGTACTTACTTATTGTCTTTCTCTTTTACCCACACTTCATTAACAGTGATGGAAAATTCCTTATTCTCCTTACTCTGGTGCTTTTTATCTTCTTTTTCTTCCAACATCTCTACTTCCAAATCATCAGGCTCTAAAATTAATAAAGTCATATATCTCATTAAAAATTAATCCCAACCAAACAAAAAGACAGGAAAGACTATACATCTTAAGATTACACTTAAATCCTTCAGCCTTAATAATTTTCTGCATTTTGCAGAAACAACTGAAGTTTTATAATCCCAGAGGTAAAAGTTTGTTTCTGATACAAGAAAAATATCTTAAAGCTCCAATGAACTATGTCTTCTAAAAACCTCAGTAGCATTCCCCCAGACATCAGCAGGGTGCTGATATAATCTAGGGGAAAAGATTCCAGCACAACTGATGAGGAGAAACAAAAAAAAAAAAAGCCCAACAACAACAACAAAAAATGAAGCACTATAGAATTCTACTTGTTTCTAGAGAGTTTTCCATAAGCACACAGAAAAGGTTTCTGGAAATTTACAAAATACATTAGTAAATCAAATTACAACACAGGCATAGAAAGCACTTGGTCCTACCTAAAAGGTGTTAATAAAAAACTGCACATTACATTATGGGAAGATCTAAAAGTGCCCAGGATCATTACTCCCCTCACTGAACTGGAAAACAGATTGTAATTAGAATTACTAATGAAATGACTTACCATCCAGCATAATAGGTTTGCTTTGCACCTGGGTAGGTCCAGCTCTTTGACATTCTTCTGGTATAGTCATGTCAGACTCTGTGACACCAACTGGTACTGAAGACTGAGCTCCGACCGTAGGAAAAGCTTTCTCTTCCTTCTCCCCTTCTACAATTAAGGGCTGATGATCTTCAAGACATTCTGCAGTACCTAGTGGAAAATTATTCTATTATTTGAAGACTGCTTTGACACAGTTTGGTAATAAACTATAATGTGACTACAACGTAAGTTGAGAATTTTTGTTTCTTTAAAGGAAAACAGAATAGAAGAGTTTACATGCTTTTATTATAAATATTATAAAGATAAAAGCTAGAAATATTAAAATTTGAATTTTACTTGCTACATTATCATTAGTACAAGCTTATACTTGGAATAAACATAAGTCCTTTTGTCCTTGGAAAGGACAAAAAGCAGGAGTTGATCAGAAGAAAATGCACTGATATGGTAAGTCACATGCTAACAAGAAGGTTATAGCACCTATCTAATACAATATTCCGTTGATGACATCCTTTTAAAAAACAGACTTGTTTCTGTCAGTAAACACAGTCCAAGACTTTTCAACAAAATGAAGACCCTTCCCTTTCAGCACATCCTTCTTCATTTCTTACCACTTCACCAAGTTTGAAATATTTTGGTGTTTTCCAGTACCAGCTTGTGCTGACATTTAGAACATTTAGAACTGAGGCAACATGCAGATGCAGAAAGTAAGAGTGAGGATAGAATATGCTTTTATGACTTCAAAATTGTTCTGAGTAGACAAACTGGCAATCTAGCACTTCCTATGCTTGCAGTGCAGATAATTACCAGCTGTGCTTACCATTTACATCTAGTTCCTCAAGTAAGTCAGTTTGCATCTGCAACTCTGCTTCTCCTAGGATCTTTAGGACTGAATCAGTAGGGCTTTTGCCCCACACTTTCCTGTGGGGTTCACCAATATCTAATCTAATTACTTCCCCCAGAGTTTGACCTGTTGGGGTACAAACACAAATATAGAAACTTTTAGAAATTAGAAACTTTTATTCACTTTCTATATAATAAACAAACAACATCCACCAAACTAAAAACTACGAAGCCAGAACTCATGTCACCTCATCTCAAGTCAGACAGCCTAAAGACTGTGCTCAGAAGTCTGGAGTTTTTCTTCTGCCAATTCAATTTAATAACAGGAGTTATTCAGTGCCAGTTAACATCTGCAACTCAATAGCAGCAGGAGGCTTATTCAGCAATTTAGGCACTCCAAAAGAAAACAATATGAGAAATGTTTAAAACTGGCATGAGATACTCTTAACTTTACTTGAAATGAGAAATTCTTGTCCTGCTATCCTTCGACGTTTATTTCAGTCATTTCGCCCTCTAAGGAAAACAGAGGATATAAAGCAGCAAAGAATAGAGCAAAAGTTGTTTCTTCATCTTCTAACATCCTACCCACGCTAAAACTACTGTGCTATGGAGTACGTCTGCTACTTTCTCAATGATTATTTATTTCTACGATACGAAACAGACCCTTAATAAGACACAGAGACACCAGGGAAAAGGTCTTCCACCCAAAAGACCAGAGAAGGCAGATAGCAAATTTTAAAAGACAGGTTTGAGTTAAAAAAAGAAAAAAAAAAAAAAAAAAAAAAATCTAAGAAGGGTGCAATGAAAGTAACAGATATAAACTGAGAAAAGACTCAGTTTTTAAAATCCTTTTATGTTATCAGGAGAACAATAAAGTTAAATAAGAAACTTTCACATATCTTAAGTGCTTTTTATTCTTTCTATTAAATTACTGCCTATTTAAAAGACACATACAAAGAAAGCTCAAAGAAAGAAACCATGCATTCAAATAGGTAACTATTTAAGGAAATAAGGAAATAATTTGTTGAATCTCCTGCAGGCCATTTAATTACTCAGCCTGTGCCTTATTCCTTGTCCAAGGGAATACATAACCACCTGTTTCTTAAAAGCAGATGAAACGCAACTGATAACAAGATTATAATAATAAAGAGTACTTGCTTTATAAAAACAGACACTACACATGGTAAACTGATTTACTAATATCATGGTGACAAAAACTAGTACTTACGGTCTGTTCCAGAGAGAGAGTCTTCCATTGATAACTGAGCTAGAGGAACTACCAACTCAGATGGCCCAGATTCCCATTTTTTGCGATCTCCTAGAAGTGGATTGTCACCTTCTTGTTGTTCCTTACCATCTTCAGACCCAACTGTTTCAGAGGTATTTTTACACTCCCTTTTTCCTTTCTCATCTTCTTGAGCTTTAAGATTTTGATTTAATCTTCTCAGTATTTCTCGTTTATTCTGAAATAAAGGCCAACACGTACCACTTAAAATAATACCTTTCTTAAAAGGTAAACTAAATGAAATTGAATACAGTTGATGTACCTGCATTGCAAAATCTGGCTTTTTTATTTCCTCCTCAGCTTCCTGGATAGCAGTTACATTTTCATCCTTTAAGGCCAAGAAGCATGAAAAACAATGTAGAATAATATGTCAGAAAAAAAATAATCTTGAGAATATTAATAGACGTAATAGTGAAAAATCACCTCTAAAACCTTTTTATCAACAACTGCAGATAGACTGAAACAGAATGTATGATACTTCTGTTTTTATGGGGCTTCCCAAAGACAGACTTTCAAGGGCAGCTTCCGTCTTTAAACTGGTCACTATCTGAAAGTGGTGAGCAAATGAATCAGACTCAGTTTAAGCAGCAAAGTGAAAGCTCATACCACAAAACATGTAGACAGAAAGCTAAATATGACCTCTACAGCAAAACGCCACCAAATTCCAATGCTAGAAATGGGTAATTCTATAAGAGAACAAAAAAAAGTGGCAAGGACAGAGTCAAGGAGCACCTGTAAAGAAAAGCAGAAGGAAGAAGAGACGACTTTAGTGATTACAGCACATACAATGTCAATTCGGTAAAGAATAAGAAAACAGTAGTTCCTTGACACCTGAAAACCTATCAGAAAGCCTGCCCAGATTAAGTCAATTGAGACTGGGCACATGCACAATTACACTAAACTAGGCAAATATCAATCATGTGGTGCATTTTTCAGGGAAACGTTCTGCATTGTTCTTAATCTGCCTCAATTATGGGAGCAATGAATACCAGGCTTCCAAAGCAATCAATATAAATTTTATTTAGAAAGCATATTTACTCTTCCAAATTGTAAAATAATCAAACTAAAAATTGAAGGCAAAAATGTAGAACTTATGATCTTTGTGTGCAAGGCTTGTCTTCTCCAATTGCTCTGTGTGCTGATGTTCAGTCAGCGACAGTCACCATCTTGCATTACTGTAAGATAAGCTATCGACATGGAAAAATGTGCTAATGATCTAAGTATTTGCCAAAACAATATTTTTTTAATTGTTCCACCTTTCAACCAATGTCTCTCAGTGTATTACATTTTATATACACTATTTAGCACTAAATTTCACTATATTCCTATAGTTACAGCCATCGAAGTTGTATGCAGTATATAATCCCACACTACACTGAAATCTATAAATAGCTTAGGAAAAAAACCCCAAAAGTTAGCATTCAAATTAACACAGATTGTGTTAAAAAACTCAAATTCATTTGTATGCTCAGTTTCAAAATTTTTACTTAAATCAAATAGTAGTAGTCAAGGTAAATGTGTAAGCATTTATAATATCAGGACCCAAGATCACAGAAAATAGAAGTTAGGAAGTCTCCAATACTGTTTTAGACAACAAGAAGAGACAACACTATCAGATTCAAGACTCCTAAACTTTATATTCTCTGTTATAATCAGCACATACTTTCAAACTCACTGAAAACAAGAATATAAAATACTGTTATCATTCAAAATTTATTTTCTCACTTCCACCAGGTTATAAACTCCTTAACTCCTCTCTTCAAGGGGCTGATGAAAATGCTGGTTAGTTGATGTCTTCTTCCACTAATCATGACTGCCTTGATCAAAACTGAAATTTCAGCCTACGGTTCATAAATAAGCCATTTTGTTCCAAACTGACTGAATTTGAATTTCAGTGTGCAGATGTATTTCAACAGCTTCCAAGTTTTTGTTTCTTTTAATTTTTTTTTTTTCATTCTCTAATTAGAAGCAACAAATATCCATAGCAATTTTTTTCTACCTAATCTATATATTCTTCTAAAAATACTTTTTCAAATCAGATTGAGTTGTTTGGTTTTTGTTATGTTTTATTTTTTTCACCATTAGTTTTACCCTCTTAGTAGAATTACCTACCACACCCACTTCCTTCAAAGCAGAAGTCATGGAGATGACTGGTGTACCAGGCTTCACTGGAAGCTGTGACTTAGGAAGAGCTGCTCCAAGCTCTTGCAGTCCATGCACAGGACTGTGTTCTGTAGCTCCAACATGAAAAGGCACATTAGGATTCTTTACTCCTTTTGCTATCAGCTGTATAGATTCAATTAAAAATTTTAAATCAATAAATTAACTTCCAAGACTTTGCACATTAAACACAGTGTTATCAAGTAGGCTCTTGTAAACCTTAAAAAAGAACATTTTCATACAAAAGAACTGCCAACTGCACACATGTAAGTGATTTCCAGTTTATCAGTTTCACTACATCCTGGTTTTTATAGCAATATTTTACTAGTTGGACTTGACACTCCACAGCACACAGAAGCAAAACTAGATTGAATACACTTTGCTAAGTTATAGATCATTAATAAAATGCTTAAGGTAATCCTCCTGATTCTTAGGTTTGATGTTCTTAAATTCTTGAACCAAATTCTTCATTCAAGTATACCTAAGATAAGGCCTCTGATGAGGGAATTTGAGTGACAGATGGTCTCCTCAGTTTCAGAAGATAAAGTAATTATCTAAGCTTGAAAAATCACAGTATAAGATTTTAGTTACACAAAGATACAGCACTACATACATAGACTGCATTTAACAGATTTATTTTCTTACATGTTCTTCCCAGGCTCTTTTCTCTCTTTCATATGCTTCCTTTCTCTTTCGCTCTAACTGTTCTTTCAGAACTGCAGCTCTAGCATTTGCTTGGGCCTGTAGTAAACACACACACAAAAAAGACCAACCATAAAATCACAAAAAGCATTAGTCTCCCATTCCGTTAAACTTTTTAAAAAGAAACATTATTTGGTTACTTCATCTTGCTTCCTCTCACTTGGAAGCTGTTGAAATACACCTGTATACTGTGAAGGCAAGACTCCACTGACAATCAAAATCATCACACAAGTATAATAACTGATCTTCTACATTGAAATAAAGGCAACTCCTCAAAATTTAATGACAATTCCTGATTTGCATGATTATATTTTTAGTGTACACAGTAATCTTAAACAGAGTAATTTAAAATAATCTCAAATTAGTTGTGAAGTCAAATGCATTAATCATAAAAAATTCAGTTTAAACTTTACATACATACTTAATAAACACAAAAAGCTTCAGTTGCTGTTTCACCTCTAGTTTTAAGGCATAAGGTTAGCTTGTTTTTACATTGCTCTTTGCAGATGACGGGGGCAAAATAAATCATAAAATAGATAAATACTTGCTATGTATCGTATGGTAGAGATAGTTATTGGTATAATAAGACCACAGGGAATAAAGTTCCAATGAAACACTGGATTTCTGTGAAACCCATTTGCTTTAAATGGGTATATCACCACAGCAGTATATAGCTCACCTTCCAATCCACATGTAAGTAGTTTTGCCTTCACTTCCTTTAACTAAAAAAATGAAGTTGTTATTTAAGGTACATCTTTGTTTCCCTTTCCGTATCAAAATGCTATTTTAGTTACACCACACTCAGGACTTTAGGACCAAAGCTAACCTAGAGAAAAATCTCAAAGGCAAGATGGGAAAAATCCTTGACTTGCTATGCTATGTCACAACATATTTTAAAATTACTGTGATAAAATAAAAACCTCTTGTAGCGGATGGATGAACAAACTATTGATAGCAAAATGAAATATAAGAAACTTCATGAGATAAGAAACAGATTTGGAAACAGTAAGTTCCATCTCCTCCCTCCACACAATTACCTTCTGCACTTCTATCTTTTTGCGTTTCTGTTCTGCTTCCTCACTTGATTCTTGTCCATCAGAACTGGCAGCTTCACTCTGCAAAATACAGGTCCTTGGAGAATTAACATTAATTCACATATTTAAAATCTGAGTGACTACTCGTATCATTCAGACTGACTGTATGACTAACATAGGTCATAATTCCACGAGGTAACTCCTCAAACGTAATGTCTACTTGGACAGAACTTCATCCTTGAGAAGATGTTTTTTGTTTATTTAGTGGGGTTTTTTTGTTTGTTTGTTTTAAAAGATAGGATGCTTTTACAAGCTGGGAAGAAAGTAATGTGTCTACTATTGCAAGGGAAGTGACCTAATCATGCTGGGCTCTCACCTGCCACCCCTCATCACTGTTGCACACTCTGCAGGTAAAGTACACAAGAAAGGTTTGATGCTTAGAATTCCAGTTTCTTACATTGTATGTGCTCCAAAGAAGGTGAAATGGGTGAGGGGGGAAATGGTAACAAGTAAGAATACATAAGTTCTACCTCTGAAATCTGTTTTGAATCTCACCATGGCCTCTGCATATTCCTATTTATAGGACAGACTGACAGAGCCACATAAAATAAGTTCTGAGTTCAGGAGCTTTTTATTATTCATGACCAACTTGTGCAGACCTTTATTTAAAATAAACTATTTAGAAGGCCTATTTATCAGGCTTCTTGCAGTAGAAGAAAAAGAGTATTATTAAAAATACTTTGGCAAAAAACAGGCAAGAATTTTAGGTCAATTTTTAAGTGGGAAACCACTGGAGATAGAAAAAATTGAGAAAATCTGGCACTCTTCATAGGCAAAGGAATGAATACATATATTCATCTATTGTATATAAAACAGGATACTATGCAGTAGCAACAGATATAAAATTGTTAATCAAAATAAGGAAATAAACATATCTGTGACGATTTATTCTGAGATGGTGTTCCTCTAGAAATGAACCATGCTAACGTTTGCATCTGCAGGTCATCAGGAAAAAAAAAACTCTTAAACTTGGTCTCTGAATTCGGAAAATTGGTTTAGGCCTACTTCTTGGAAAGATATGAATCTATTTTCCATTCCTTTGTAGGTGGGATACTTTCTGGGGCATAAAACACTACCCCAGGTAAGGTACAGCCACTAGGAAAGGAAGTTAGGTTCCTGATATACCCAATAACCCATAGAGAGAATTAATGCCATGGTCACAGTAACACTAATTTTGTTTGATTTTACTACCAGAAGCAGTCTTGGCCTCCAGAGGAAAGGCTTCTGGAGAGTACCTTTACCTCTGCAGTTAACCATACTGCTGGTAGGGTGTGGCTGCTCCTAATTTTGAAAGGAAGCGTTGCAGCTGCTCAGTGGAAAAACGGAAAGAAACAGTGCAGTACAGCAATGGCTCTGTACTGGTGACGTTTTAGCACCATCTCTGGTATTCTGAGGGTACTCAGCAGATTTTGTAGGACTGTGGGCAGAGGTGACTAGTCCCACTGCAGCAGTTTCGAAGCTTGTCCAAAACAGCAGAAGAGTTATGAGTGAAATTTGCACCAAATGAAATTAAGAGAGCATGGGCTTATGGTGCACCAGCTTATTATTTTATGTGAGTCATCACTAAGTGATAAACTTCACTGACCAGCCTGTACAGTAACTTCACAGACTCACAAGACCTTGATTTTCCTCCTGCTCCTCAAGACAAACTTAGGATAACGGCCCATGTTTGTCCCACGTCAGACTTAGCCACCAGCACATCTTAAAAAGTTTGCATAGTCTTCTTGGGTAGAAACGTACATAACTTTTGCTCTGGATCACTCATTTTGGATTTAAAGGGGCATGGGTTCCTCTTCAATGCACTAAAGAAATTTTGCACCTCAATCAAGGGATTGAATTCAGCTGTCCTGTGTCTCACTAGTGACATGCAATCAAGGTTAAAGAAAACATTGCCCAAGTCCTACAAAGCCAAGGAAGGGTCCGGGAGAACGAAGAACCGCCCACTGTAGAAGATCAGGTTCGGGACCACCTAAGGAAC